CCAGCCCAGTTCCCCCTTCCAAATTTAAAGCTGAAAGATGCTCCTCTAACAACCATGTTTATTTCAACCTATAGCTGTGTTGATGGGAAAAACTTGGCTTCTTGGAGCACCTCCTGTTGTGTCTGAGAACAGTGCCGGCCCCTTGCCCCCTTTCCCTTCCTAAGGCGGCAACCTTGTGCATTTCAGAATGCCCTGAGGGCTGGCTAAGCAGACAGTGCTTGGTCCCGCCCAGGACTCAGGAAGTCTGCTGGCCCTGAGACCACACCTGGAGAAAGCTGATCGGGGAGTGATGGGAGGTTGCCCCTACTTCAGGGAGGTTGTAGTGACAAGTCATAGTCTCTTGGGCCACTTGGGTCTGATGCTTGTCAATGGCTGTGATTTGTGCTGTGTCTGCCCTTGTCCTGAGCCTGGCTCCAAGGCGGGAACATCATGTCCACACTCGTGCTTGGCCTTCCACCCAATCCACATGCTGAAGGTGCTCAGATCCACGACCTCTTCTGTGCAAGAGGGGCGGTGATCACCATGCGTGGTCACCATGGGGCTGGGGTCCATCCTGCATGGTGCCAGCTGCTCTCCCACTCAGTTGTGAGCATGAACTAGCTGAACCCTGAGGCATCAGACTTTCTCCTTGACGACTTCTGGAAGGTACAGGCCCAAGCTGGAGTTTAAGTGAGAGGAAAAAAATCTCCAAGTAGGAGAGCGGAGTGAGGAGAGCAGTCCTTGCATTTCTACCACATGCCTGGAACTTTTCATACGTTTGCTCAGTTAATGCTTGCAGGACTGTTTGATGTGGGAGCTATTATTGCTATTCTACAGAGGAGAAAGCTGAGGTCCAGGGGGCTTGCTGAGAAGTGGCAGGGCTGACCTATGAACCCAGATTTTCCTGTCCTGTGTCCCCTGCAGAGCCACAGGCTTTCCAGTGCAGTGTGGAATCCCTGCAGCACCCTGGGCAACTTCCTGAAGTCCTGAGGAGCTGGGGTGAAGCCTGTGTGCCTCCCTAGCCATGCTCAGCTTTCTTATGGAAGGTTTCTTTTTCCTAAGAAACATTTTGACTCTTTGGTGATGGGATGGCCTCCTTTCTAGAGAATCTGTTGGGTGGTGAAGAGAGCCGTAGGTATCAGTAGGCAGTTAGGACAAGACATGGGTGTTGCATTCAGATCTCAAGCCCCTCATTCACTGTGCATCCTTGGGAAAATTACTCAATGTCTCCAAGCTGCCAAGCCTGCCTCCATGAGGGGGTTCACAAGACCCACCATGCTGGATGGTTGAGAATGAAACCAGATACTCCAAAGCTTTGCCATGGGAGGTCCGCAGCCAATGATTTCCACAGGGGAAATGGTGGGCAAACTGAGGGCAAGAAATGGCTCTCATCTGGTTGGGTGTAGCCCAGGCGGCTTGAGCTTGGACTATTTGACCTCTGCAGTCTTCGGGCTGATCTGCCTCTGAGGGTGGCAGACAGGGCCAGGTGAGAGGATGAGCTGGTGGAGCTACTGTGGCCTGGCAGCCTGGGACAGGGCAAGCCAAGGGGCAGCTCCAATGTGACCTGGCATGACCTGGCCCTCGCAGGCAGGCTCAGTGGTGCCAGGTCTAGAACCAGCCTCTAAACACAGTGGGCAGTAGGGAGAGAGCCTCGGAAACTCCTTCAGAGGCTTCCCAAGCAAACCGAAGACCCTCCCTTTCCCCCGCCTTCCTCAAGCTTCAGGTGAAGGCTTTGAAATGGGAGAGATACCAGATGAAATCCTTCCCTCCAGCCAGCCTTGCAGCCCCTCAGCAGCTCATGTCCACTTGGAAAGGGGGCTCTTAGTGAAAGATGGGATCAACTGAGGCAAGGAAGGACAGCCCAGAGTGGGGTGGCCCAAAAGAGCCCCTGGGATTGGCCAAGCAGAGAATGGAGGATGTGAGGAAGGCCTGCCCATCTGCCACGTGTCATGGCCCAGAAGAACATCCCTTTCCCTTCGTCTGAGACAGGGAGGTCTCTAGGTCTGGGGAGGAAGCTATTCATGGCTGACTGGTTGTTGGAATTTTCTTGCTGTCAGACTTCCCCAGGCCATCTGATGTGGGCTTGGAAGGTAACACACTTTTCACTGACCTGGCTTCAATCTTTCCCCTGAGAACTCAGGTCAGCTGAGAATCTGCTCTGCCTCCCCTTGACATTAGGAGGCTATGGATTAACCACACTGTATTCTTCCCATAGGCAGCCCCTTCCAGGAAATATCCCAGAGTGATACTGATGACTTACATTGGGGGTGACACATCTGAGCATCAGCATGTGCTCTGCATGCTCCAAGTTTGGGTCCTGATAGACCTCCACGGCTCCCTTGTCCTTCCTGCTCTATCCCATCCACCAGCTCATGCCACGCAACCCTTGGAAACCAAGTAGAAATGAGGGGGTGTCTGCAGTTTTTCCAATTAACTAAATGAAGTATACGATTGAGTTAAGGACTATGGACTGGATGGATTTTTTGAAATGAGGTTTAAACCCTCAAGTGGAAACAAAACCAAAACCCACTCCAGCCTCGATGGGCCCGGGCCCTGTTGGGGAGCAGCAGCCCATGTGCCCCAGCAGTGTGGCCTTCTCTCGAAGCCCTTTGCTTCTCTCCAGTAACCCAGGGGCATATGGAATGAAATCCCAAGAGGTAATGAGGAAGACGGACCAGCCCTGTTGCCACCAGCAGGCTTGGGTTACTGAGATTTCTGGCAGAGACTGGAGGAATAGGGCTATTTCAAGACATGGGGCTTCCCCGCTTCAGAAGGGGTCTCCAAGGCTTCCTTAGGTCAGGAATGACACCATTTCTGTCCTGGCAAAAAGGCATCAAGGTGGGAGGATGCAGGCCTGCCTCTGGCCTTCCTGTCTACTCTCCACACCTCTCACTCCCCAGGTTCCAGGAGACCTAAACCCCTCTGCTCCAGTACACAGCATTCCACCAGCCCCCTTCCTCCTCACTGCACACAGTTGCTCCCTTCCCAATGAGCTTCTGCTCATCCAAGAGCAGACAAACTCGTTCCCGTCCCAGAGACCCAGGGGCAGATGTGCGCTGGACTTGAGTCACCCGGAGAAGGCTATTTATAAACCACCCCGATAAGCACAATCTGCCCTGCTCAGCCCAGGCCACATGGGCATGCTGTGTGTCTGGTGATTCCACTGCTAAGCTAACCCTCCCAGCACCATGACAGCAAACTGGACATTTCCTGTACCAGCCAGGCCTGAAAAGTAGGCCTGGGAAGGTGCAGGAGGCTCAGGAGCCAGTCAGCCATTGGAAGAGTCTGACTTACAAGCTATTCTGACAGCAAGAACTTTCACTGTTTTTTTTTTTTTTTTTTGTATTAAATTGACCCATCTCAAGAAGTGTTCTTGTAACACAGTGGTCAGCAAACTTTTTCTGCAAACGGCCACATTATAAATGTTTTCAGTTTTGCCATATGGTCTCTGCTGATATAGTATAGAAGCAGCCTTAGACAATATGCAAATGAATGAGCATGGCTGTGTGCCAATAAAACTTTATTTACAAAACCAGGTGCTCAGACCACACACCATAGTTACTAGCCACTACTGTAAAGGGAACTCAAATGCTGGAAAACAGGACCTCACTTACTACGCATGTCTGTTTAATCTCTGCAGGTTCCTATACTTATGGAGCTACCTGAAAGGCCTACACAATGATTCTTCTTAAGGCCCTCTAGCTTTCCACACACATTGACTGCTGCCTTACTCAATGATCAATTCTTCTCCACCAGAAAACTAAAGAGGTAGTTTTAGACTCAGCCAAGCCTATCCCGAGAGAGTCTGGTGGGGCCCTCCCTGGGTGTGGAATAACAGGCAGCCTGTGGAGGGCTTTGTTTTGGGGACACACATGCTCGCAGAGTCCACGGGCCAGAACATCGCAGTCACCAGTTTTCCTCTTTGTTACAGCTGGTGTGACCCTGCCTGGCCCAGCACTGGGGGAGCCAAGACAGCCAGCCTCCCTCAGCTCTGATTGCTGAAAACCTGGGACCACGGGGACCCCCATTTGACAACGCTGTGGCCTGGGCACATCTGTGCACTCACTTAGCCATGTGGGAGCAGAGAGCCCTAACAGATGACACCTAAGGACAAAGCCACGCATGTACACAGCTCCCGGTACACAGTCCCCGAGGCCCATCCAGCACACCAAGAACCTCAGCCCCAGCACCCGTGGGCTCCCGGCACACACACACCACCCTGCACAGCACCCTGGCACCAAACTACATCCCCAGCACAGCAGCGGCCCACTGGGAATGTCCCTTCTGCCATGAGCTTGAGCCTCCCTGCCCACGCTAAGGAGCCAGACAAGTGTCTGGGCTGTACCTTCCGCTCTCTGCGTGTCCAGCTGCTCAGGCCTCCTCGGGAATGGGAGAGAACCCCGGCTCTGCCCCTCAGCCAAGACTTCTTCTTTCCTCTTTAGCCAGGCTGCCCAAAGGTGATAGGAGAGTGGACTCAGGACCCAAGCCTTCTCCAGCTCACAAACCTACCCACCTGAGGAAGATCAGTGACCAGAAGCTGGCCAGACACGGGAAGTCCGTGAAGCTTACCTAAATAGAGACCCAGCCGGGGGAAACCAAATGGTGTTCTTGGTGGGGAAGAGGCAAACAGTCCGCACTGCAACACCCGCGTGGTGTCAAGTAACAGTCAGATTAAACAAACAGCCTCAGCTGCTATTTTTACATCCAGATCAGCCACGAGTAACAGATCACTTGGGGAGTGAGAAATTGCTTGCTGCTTAGCCGGACCCTAACCACGATTCCAACTTCAATCCAGAACGATTGCTAAAGCTGTTCCAGCACCTAGAGTCAAATAAAAATATCCCGAGGTGGGAAGGAAAACATTTGTTTAGGGAAACATTAAAAACAGGAGAGTGTGTGCCTTGGAGCCAGCGCCCGGAGCCCTGCTGATGTCCCGGGGCAGAAATAGCCCGTTTCATCATCGGCTCTGGACGACCGCCGCCCGCATTCCTGGAGTAAGGAGCTGTCCTCTGCTGTGCTTTTGGAGCAGAATAACATGCAGCTGGGGGAAGGCCAGGCTGGGTCTCAGGGTGAGAGTTGCAGATGGATATGAAATAATCGGGGAAGAGGCAAGGTAAGTGTCCACTTGGTGAGCTTGCAAGCCCAGTTGTTTGCAAGGTCCAAGCACCAGTGGACAAGTCCCATTCTGCCAGGCAAGGGCTCCCCCTCCACCTCTGGAGGGGCTGGACCCCCTGCAATCCTGAGGTGGGCTCATGCCTGCCTTCCCAATGGCTGCTTTCTGTCTTGGGCTGGGGTCACCTGCTCCCCAAACTGCCCTCAGACCCCCAGACTTTTTCCACCAGTTTTTCCTTGGCTTGCACTGTGCCAGCTCCCAGGGTGCCTTCCTTATTCTCCCAGGCTGGCCCTAGGACAGTCTGCTCACTCCCAGGATTTAATGCAAGAGCGATTATTTTTTTCCCCCTTTCTCTCCAAGATCCTTTTTTATGCTTCCCTGCCTGTGGCCTGAGAAAGCAGAGATGACTGTCCCTGCTGGGTGTCCTGCTCTGTGCTGTGCTCAAGGCCTCTGCTAGTCAGTAGTGTGCTGTATCTTTAGGTCTATTTGCAGACTGTCCCTTCTGCCCCTGTGGGCTCTTCAAGGGCAGCAACCTGTGTCCTGGCCCCAAGTTAGGGCCTGGCACCATCTCCAGCCTTGAACCTGCTGGCAGCCAGGGTCACAAGGACCCAGGTCTATGCACTTTTGTCTAAACCAAGTCAGAAAGAACACCTCCTCCATGCCCTGCAGACTGAGGTGCCCAAACAGCAGGAGCATTCAGACCCACCTCCTCCTGGGAGCCCCCAGACTTGCCTTTTGCCCTGAGAGCTTCAGAATCTTGCTGTGGGGATGACCACTTGCTGCTCTGCACTCAGAGATGCTTTGAAGGAGGCCCAAAGTGAACCCCTCAATTTTACCTGCTCACTTCCCTACCTCTCCACTTCCCCTGTTTGTAAAACCAACACTCCAACAGGGCAGAGAAAAACCATCAAGTTGAGATGTGAGCAACATTTTTAAAGAGTACACAGGATTTGGAGCCCTGGCTCCATTATTTCCTAGCCAGTTGACATGTCACATACTTACCCTTCCCGAGCCTCAGTTTACCCATCTCTAAAGTGGAGAGAATGCCTGTGCTCTGTGGGATTCAGGGTCAGGGGAGCTCATGTACATGAATATGCTCATCTATTGCAAAGCTTCCCAAATGTTAGTCATTTATTTGCTATTTTTTCCCCATGATTTTTGTGACATTCTCAACTATCTGTATCAACATTTACTTACTATTTTCCTTTAAAGAAAATTTAAATGGCCTTGCTTTGTGTCTTGAACAGAAGAATTTTATGGAAAACGACAATACCTAACAGATCATGGACTTGATATATTTGTTAATTTCCTTCCCCCCCATTGAAACAAATTTATACTCAGTTCATATGTCATCTGTTTGACCCAAATCATTTTGTTCCAGATGTTAGGAAATGTTGCATTACTAAATCTCATTTTATGGAAGTGTTCACTTTGGGACGTGGGTAACATGAGCTGAAAGCTTTGACAGGGCCCCTGGTCTTCCTAATTTGCTTTTCTCCCCTCCTCAGCACCTTCCTTCCCCAGCTTACGTTTCATTCTTCACAGGTGGGGAGCATGACCTCATGTCTTGTTTAGGATCCTAGGAATGGCAGGCTTTGCTCTGCGGCAGGAGTGAACGGTGTTTGCTTCAAGTGGCTGATTGAGGAAAGAGCACTGTGGGATGGCTGGGGAATGTTCTGGGGACCACACAGTGGCGGGTAGCTTTGTCAGTGATGTCAGCAGGAAGGGTCTGGAGAGAATAATAAAACCCAGTTGACCCAGCAAGAGCCTGTTCTGGCAGCAGGTAGCCCTCAGAACTTGGCTGGAGGTTCCAGCAAGCCTGAGCATGGCTGACCCCTGCAGAATCTGATTTCTCCTGGAAGTGCCCCTACCTGACCCTTGTAATAGACCCCATTTCTGTGCCAGTTACAGTGGGCACCCTGGTGTAGACCAGCCCCAGCCAGAAGCACAGCCACAGAACTCAGCCCAAACTCCAGACCAAGAACACTCAGGGTCTGCATGGCCCAGAGCTGGCATCTGTCCGGGGTACTGGCCCAGGCAAAGTGACCACTCTCGTCCAGTCCAGGAGCTGTGAGCTGCATGGAAAGAATGTGAATGAAGACACAACTCTAAATGTGGAACCATGGACGCTATGTGAGCCAGTGTGCTCCCTAGCTGTCCAGAAAAACAAGGCCCACTTGTACATTCTAAAAGCACATAAATAAAGCTGTCCTCAGGCGGCGTGCTCTGGTGGCCCATTCTTGCAGTGGCTTCACTGGCTGCAACCCTCAGCAAGGCCTCTGGAACACTGTGAGGGCAGCACGCCCACCCAACAGAGTGGGTAGGAGAAGGTCTAGCTATGGCCTTGCCGCATCTGGTGATTGCGAGCTTAATTTTGCAGCAAATTTAATCTACTCCGCATTGGTATTAATTAGAAATGTTCAAAAGCTGGCAATAAGGGTAGTGCAGAATGGGTCCTTCAGGCCAATTTCTGGTTCTAGATATTTAACCTAAACCCTGCATTTGAAGTTCACATCCCTGCAAATAACAGGAAGCCACTCACCTGATTCTTCTAGCTTTGTATCCTGGTTATAGGTGACTTCCTGTTGGGAGACATTTCTTCACTATCACCCAGCTTTCCTTAGGAGTCGTTTCCATAAAGTTTTTCAGGAGGGTGTTGCATTTCCCTGTTTGATAATAAAAGCAAAATGAAAATGCAAGCCAGTGCATATAGGATACTTACTTTGTGCCCTACATGGTTCTAAGTCCTCACATCAATTAACCTATACCCTGCATACTCCTGATCATAGGTCCCTGCATGATTCTGTCCCATCCCCATGAATCGCTGTCCATCGGGGAGCTAGGGAAGGATGAGATATGGGGAAGTGATATTTCCTGAGCACTCATTATATGCCAGGAAAACACTTTCTGTGCTTTGTTCCACAAAATCCTCAGTCTTTCTGTATGAAGGCAGCTAATGTTTCCTTTTTGTTTTGTTTTGTTTTATTTTGTGTTTTTTTTTGAGACGGAGTCTTGCTCTGTCGTCAGGCTGGAGGGTAGCAGTGTGATCTCGGCTCACTGCAACCTCTGCCTCCCAGGTTTAAGCGACCCTCCTGCCTCAGCCTCCTGAGTAGCTGGGATTATAGGCATGCGTCACCATGCCCAGCTAATTTTTTGTATTTTTAGTAGAGATGGAATTTCACCATGTTGGCCAGGATGGTCTCGATCACTTGAGCTCGTGATCTGCCTGCCTCAGCCTCCCAAAGTGCTGGGATTACAGGCATAAGCCACCATGCCTGGCCTAGTGTTTCCTTTTTACAGATGAGGAAACTGAGGCTTACAGAGGTCCCAGGATGCCACAGCTAATATCAGCACAGAGGGTGCAGACAAGGGCTCACCTGACCATCTATCTATCTAGTACTCTCCCAGTCCAAGTGCAGGACACAGCCTTCTCTGACCCATCTGTTCATCTTGCCTCTCCCTGCAGTGAAGGCAATGCCTGCAGGGCACCTCCTTAACTAGTGATTTGTTATGGGGATTATGTGCCCACTGTCAGCACAGCACATAGTGTGTTTCCAGGGCTGATGGTGAGATGGTGTCTCATTGGAGGAGGGTGCTTTGGGAGCTCAGGCCCTGCTGGGCTGGCCGCCTGGCGAGGGGCCTGAGCAGGAGGATCCCTCTTGCAGGAGCCCTGAGTTGGTGGGGTTGTTGCCTGCTAATGTCTAACTCAGAGGGGCTGGAGTTACGGGGGCAGGGCCCTGGTTGTAGCTCACAGCTTGAAAAAGCCCAGGTTGCTGAGGCCCCTTCTACAGGGCTACTCTTCTCCCCGTCTGACCAGCCTGGTGCTGGGATGGCAGCTGTCACAGTCAACTCACGGTCACGCCGGCCAGGGCCTCTCCTCAAGGCGCTTCCTTCAGGATTCTTTGCTTAGGACTTTACAGTGGAAGGCTTAGACATAAACAGAATCTGTGCTGTGAAATGAAGGAAATTCAGTTCATTAAAGTACTAATAAGTCTCACAACAAAGCCGTGGCAACCAGATGGGAGGTCGGCTTCCTGGTGGATCTGGGTGTAGTGGCTCATCTCTCCACACTCAGAGGGATCTGGAAATCCAGTGTGAAGAGGAGCTGCTCCCTAGAGCACAGGTTGACAAACTTTTTCTGCAAAAGGCAAGATGGTAAATATTTTCAGCTTTGCAGGCCAGCGGGGTCTTTGTCAAAAATGCTCAGGTAGGCCATGGTAGCACGAAAGCACTTAGAGACACTCTAAACAAATGGGAATAGCCAACACAGTAAATAAAACTTCAGTTTCAGAGTTTAAAAGAAGAAAGTTGAATTTCATATAGTTTCAATGTATTACAAATATTCTTATTTTGACATTTTTCCCTCAATTATTGAAGTGTGTACAAACCCTTCTTAGCTCACTGGGCTGTTCCAGAACAGACAGCACAGGGAGTTGGCTCGTGGGCAGTTTGCGACCTCTACCCTAGAGCCACTTTGTCCACTTGAGTGACCACCAACCCTATGTGGTTAATGAGTGCTTGAAACTGCTCGTCAGGTCTAAAATCAAGGTGCCCTGTGAGTGTAAAATGCACACTGGATTTCCTTAGGACAAAGAAAGCCTTGATGTTGACATGAAAATACTTTGGATATTCTGGGTTTAATAGAATATATTGTTGAAATTTACTTCCACACATTACTTTTGGAACGTGACTCTGGAATATTTGAAATGACATAGTGGTGTGGGCTGTATTTCCACTGGACAGTGCTGGGCTTTGTTCCTGATCACGGACCCTCACGCTCATTGCCTGCTATGTCCATCCGGCCAGACCCGACTTGAGATCAGGGCCGAGCTGCTCGTGGTACAAGAGTTTCAATTTCTCCATCGCCATTGCTCTGAGTTCAGACTTCAAGCAGAAACTTTTGCAAGTGTATTCCTACATCACTGGTATTGCTTCTATTTGCTTTCACCATTGCCTCTAAAATATTGGGCCTTAAAATTAGACTTTCTGAGCATGAAGAAAAATATGGTGAGTATTGCCATTTTCCAAGCCCTTCCAGAAACTGCATGCTATTAGTGATCTCATACACAGTGTGGATTGGATCTTCACAACCATTCTAGGAGGGAGGCATTCTTACCTCCATTTCCACATGCAGAATGAGGTCAAAGAGGTGAAGTCCCTCACCCCAAATTATGTACTTGGGCAGCAGAGCTGGCATCAAAGTCAGGGTTCCCATTCTCCTCAGACCACTCACTTCCGTGGTGCCATGTCACTAACATGCTGGTGGAAGCAGGGCCTTCCTGGAAGATACGCTTCCTCTCCAGTGCAGAGGCAGAGGAGGGATTCTGTAGAGCAGCCTGGCTGAAGGGAGAGAGACTCTGGAGGCAGGACTGGAATGCAAAGCCCAAGCATGCTGTTGCTACTGTGCACCCCAGGTGCCAGCTATTCTCTTTCCTGTAAACAGAACAGGGAACAGGGAGAGGAAGGCCACTGTCTACCTGCCTGGCACCCACTGTGGCTGCTGCAGGATTGTTTTAGCCTCAGAGGTGGACCAGCTCCAGCCTCATGAGCTCCTTGCCCCTCTCTGCATACAGCTCCACCCTGCCCCATGGCCTTTGCACCTGTCTATCCGATCCTCTGCTTGGAGCACTCTGCCCCGACCCTGACATGGCTGCTTCCTTCTCACCGTTCAAGCCCCAACTCAAGTGTCACCTCCTCAGAGAGACTTTTCCATGGCGATCCCATCTGGAGATCTTCACCTTGGCCCCAGCTGACCTCTGTCACGCTCTCATTCTATTCCTCATGGTCGTGATAATGAACAGAAGCCATCCTGCTTTCTGGACTGTGCTCTGTCTATATACACTCGCTTCTCCCAAAAAGCAATTCCAAGAGAACACCTGCTTTGTCTGCCTCATGTTCTTCCACTCACCTCATGGTGAATGAGTGTGGGGCACTGCCCCACGGGGGACTCCTTGCTGCCTTGCCTCTCTCCCTGCCATTACAGCCTCAGAGTGTTGGGTTTATCTCAGAGCAGTGGTTCTCAAGTCCCCCAGAGGAGGAAGCACCAATGGCTGGGGCCCTCCCTGAGAGTTCCTGCTTCAGTGGGTCCTCTGTGGGGCCTGGGCATGAGCATTTCTACTAAGTCCTCAGGCAATGCTGATGCTGCAGGTTCAGGGGCTATCCTTGGAGAAGAAAGAGCACCTGTTCCTGGACAGGGTGCACCCACTCTCTCTTCCACACTTGCTGTGGATGATTTCCTGGGAGCTGCTGTTCAAGAGTGGCTTCCTACTTACTTGACTCAACAATTATTTTCTGAGCACTTCCTGTGGACCAGGCACTTCTAGATGCTCTCTCATTTGTAACCTCCTTTTCTGCTTACTACATCTCTGAGGTGGTTTATAGGCAAGAGAGCTGAGGCTTAAGAGGTTAAATACGTGGTCTAAGGTCACAGAACTAGGCATAGGTGAGGCTTGGGCTGGTTGCAGGGAGTTCTGGCACCCAGCTCAGGTGGGTTCCCATCCTGCCATGTTGCTCTCTGAGGTCTGGCCTCCTAGGAGCCTTTGGGTATGGCTCACACATGCCAGGTATGTCCAGCTGTCTATTTTCACTTCTCTGTGCAGCTGGGCAGAGCCACACAAAACTCCAGGTGGTACAGCCAGGAGAGTCTGTAGCTGAGCTGCTCTGTTTGTGAATTTTGGCTGCAGAGCCGTAAGCATTGCACTCTCAGATCTACCCCACACCAGCTGTGTGACCTTGGACATATGGCTTGATTTCTCCAAACCTCCATTTGGTACCTACATCATATGACTGTTGCAAATATTAAATGGGATGATGCAAGTGCTTAGCATGGGTAGGTGCAGCAGGCTAGTGAAGTTATTTGGTCATAATTGTGATTGCCTTGGCTCTCTAGTGGTCGGGTTGGAAGGCAACAGCAGGTTTGCAATGACTGAGAACTTGGGAGTATGGGGCTGAGGCAGCGAGTGTAGGACCAAGAAGCCGGGTATCCCCCTGCCTTGCCGCTGTAGAAAGGAATGAAGACCATGTCTCCATCTTCGCAGGAAGTAATTCCCAGGACAAGGGGGAGAAGCACGGGTACAGTGTATTAACCATTCACTGAGGAAGGAGAGGCTATTTATATGGATTTGCTGACATTAAGAGAAAACCGTAGAATAAATTAATGCCTATTTATATGGATTTGCTGATATTAAAAGAAACCCATAGAATAAAGTAGAAAATGATTGT